CCCCAAAACCCCAAAACCCCAAAACCCCAAGATCAAGAGTCTTATCTTATTCGCTAGAATTACTTTATTTATATTTATCTAATCTTTATTAATATAGAATTTAAAAGAAATAGAAATGAAGTGTAATGAATGTGGATCTTAATAGATCGAGCATAATACTGCTGGTGGAGTTTATGTTTGTATCTAATGTGGAAAGGTTTTAGAGAGCAATACTATAGTATCAGAACTTTAGTTTAGCAATTCTATGGCTAATGGCTATTTCCTAAACTAAAAAACAGGCCAAGGTGGTCTTTAATTTGGAAGTAAAATTTATTTTATCTTAGTCTTACCTTTAACTGATAGAAAGAGCCCTATTCTCAGATTCTAGAACTTTAAGGTTATCAAAAGGTTATAAAGTAGTTGATGGAATCGCCTCACAACTTGGAATGAGTTAATACATTGTTGAAGCGGGGCAAAGATTTTTCAAATTAGCTTATGAAAAAAATTTCATTTAGGGTCGTAACACTAGGCATGTGGCTGCTGTATGCCTATATATAGCCTGCAGAAAAGAGAAAACTCCTCATTTACTGATTGACTTCTCTGATGTTCTTCAAACTAATGTTTATATTCTTGGAAGTGTATATTTAAAGCTAGTCCAGAGATTATTCTTGGAAGTTCCTCTAATTGATCCATCTATATTTATTCACAGATTTTGCTCGAAATTAGAGTTCGAAGGAAAATCTCACCAAGTTGCTCTCACAGCATTGAGATTATTGCAAACAATGAAGAGAGCATGGATAACAACTGGTAGAAGACCAAATGGTCTCTGCGGTGCAGCTATTTTGATAGCAGCTAGATACCATAACTATAAGAGAAATATTGGACAGATAGTTAGAGTTGTCCATGTCTGTGAGGAGACCATCAGAAAAAGACTAGACGAATTTAAGAACACGAGAACTGCATAGTTGACTAGAGATGAATTTCAATGTATTGAGTCTGGTAAACCAGCTGATACTAATATTGGAGGATCATTGATTCGCTTGGAAAAATCACCAAGTTCTGCAAGTATCGAGGAAAATATGGATCCTCCCTCTTTCACCAAGAATTTATGCAAGAAAAAGCTTGAGATTCAAGAGGATTTAGATGAAATTCATAAGATGATAGAGGAAAAAGCTAATTAAATAGAACAAAGATTGGTAAGATATGATAGTACTCGTAATCAAAACTATGAAGATAGCAAAGTACCTCAATAAGAAGAGATAATAATGATTAATACATCTACTGTGCCAGATTCAAATCAAAATTAATTGGTTCCATATTTTACTAGTGCTTAAGGGCAAGGGTAAAACATGCTAGGTGTCCAAATGCAAGATACAAGCAGACTTTAAATGGCTTTGAGATCATTTGAAGATAATGATGGAGTCGAAACACTATCGGATGTTGACGATGCAGAAATAGATCAATTGATCCTAACTGAGGAGGAGAGAAAATTAAAAACAATACTGTGGAATAATTTAAATAAAGACTGGATTTAAGAGTAATATGAAAAGAAAAGACTCAAGAAAGAGAAAAGAAAACTCAAAAACCAGGGCAATAAAAAATCAAAATAAATTAAAAGTAAGTTTGAAGGTTTTTTTAAGATTTTTAATAGAATAATTAATTGTAAGAAATGCAACAAATCCTATTGATGCAATAAGAAATTCAGCAAAACTAGGCAACATCAACCCTAGAAGTAAGAATATACCTATTTAATTTAACATTCAATCTATAGTCCTTGAGTCAATATTTAAAAAAGATAACTGAATATAATTTGATTTCATAATTTTTACATTTTAACTATCAATTTTTCTCTAGCGGGGTTTTGGGGTTTTGGGG